GGACTCCTTATTCAAATATCTCTGATGGGGCTGGTGGCCTAGCTCACTGGGTAGGGACCACTTGCTGCCAAGCCTGGCGACCCAGTTTGATCCCTGGAACCCACATGGTAGAAAGAGAACCAACTCCCACAAGTTATTTTCTGACACGCACCATAGCACATTCGCACCCCTACACACACATGCACACAAAACCCAAATACTTCAGCTAGCTCCCCACTACCCGCAGGAAAAGCCCTAAATTTTCTGACCTCAGTTCTTCAGACCTGAAAGTTCAGCCAGTTGATTGTGTTTGATGTTTCCCTTTTAGTCTGGACCAACCTACTTGTTTCTAACCTGTTCTATTACCCAAGGTTGGATTAATTTAATCACCACTGCTACAGAAGGAGGTCTCTGAAAGTGGTCCTTTGCAGAGTGGCAAATCTGCAATACCACTTCTTTTAAATTTTTTGAAAAAGTTACAGATTTTTTTTTTAATGCCAGGAAAATGTAGTCATAAATGCTCTTCTAAGCAATGATCTTTCAGAGGATGGAGATTCACAAGTGAAGAGCAACTGCATTTCAGGAGTTTGCCTCAATCAAGGAAAACGTTTAAAAAACACTGTCTGGGATGGTGTGGGACAGCCACGCCTTTAATTTCAGCACTCAGGAGACAGAGGCAGGCGGATCTATGTGAGTTCAAGGGCAGCCTGGTCCACATAGTGAGACTCTGTCTCAAAAAGACCAAAAAAAAAAAAAAAAAGTAAACACTCTCTAGGGGCTGGAGAGTTGGCTCATCGGTTAAGAGCGCTGGCTGCTCTTGCAGAGGTTTAGTTCCCAGTACCCACATGGCAGCTAACAACCATCCCTAACTCCAGTTCCAGGGGATCCAACACCCTTTCTGACCTCCATGGGCATTGCACAATACAGATGCACTTATATACATGCAGGCAATAAATAAAAACTAATACATAAAATATTTTTAAAAGCACTCTCTGGGCCAGGCGTAGTAGTGTGCCTTTAATTTAATTTCGGCACTCAGGATACAGAGGCAGACAGATTTCTGTGAGTTCAAAAGAGGCCAGTCTGGTCTATATAGTGATTCTCTCTGAAAAAAAAGAAAAAAAAAACAAAAAAAACAGGAAAAAAATACTGTCTGAGGGGCTGCAGAGGTAGCTCAATGGTAGACCCAGCCTAGCAGTAGCGTGGGTGAGACCCTGAATTCAATCTCAGGGAATGAAGAACAATTAAGGAAGGGAGAAAAAAGGTACCTGTGTCTTAAATGACATTAACTCAAATAGTTTCTTTTTCTACATTTTTTTTAATATACATATCTGTATATCTAAGAAGGCTTATAGTTCTGAAATAGGATGCTTGGTACTATATTCAACATGACAATAATATTTATTCCAAAATAACCAATTTTCTTTATCATTGTGGCTACGACTTTCTTTTAGAACTGGGAAAAGAGGGTTTTCAGGAGGATTGAAAAAAGGCATAAAATTCTCATTTAATCTTTGTGTTAAAATTATATAAAACAGAAAGTCACAAGGAAAACATAAGTGTTCTGATATTAGTTACTAATGTTATCAGTAGTTGACAGCTTGGTACAGTGGAGCCCATGAAACAAACTCTAGACTTGGTATAAAGTTTCTTTTAAGAGCCTAAATGTTTGTATTCTTTCGAGGCTATGTTGCCCATTTATTTTCAGCTCACGTCACCGGAATTTGTTGGCTCCATTGCTATGGAAACCATTCAGAAGGATAATGTGAAGTCTTCCACCCATGTGTACACAGCCCTCCCTATCAGCACAGGCGGGGTGCAGTATATCTCTGGGATGCAGATCAGCTTTTGGATAATTTGAAAAAACAATATTTAAAATGCACCCCAAAACCGAGACAAAAAAACAGTATTGTCTCCCTCTCAAAACACCAGCTGCCCCTAAACTAAATGAACACACTAGCTCACAGCAACAGAGAACTATAGTGCATATTCTGTATGGTCACTAAGAGCAAAGGCCACAGGCCAGTGCTCAGACAGTAGGAACGCTGCAGCCTGTCCATGGGCAGCACAGGCTTTTTTTTTTTTTTTAGGGGGGAAGAGGAAAAGGCCTTTTCCTTTTGAAATCAACCTTGGAGTTTACCAGGCAAACTTTGATCAATACTACAGTGAAAAACAAGCCTTGAACACATCCACACACATCCCCAAACAGATCCACTCGCTTGATGAGTGGTCTACTTTCCCCTTCCCTTATTAGTAAAGAAGCAAGGAACATTGCAATGAAAAGTTCCATACGAGGAGGAAGGCGGGCATGAGGTGCCAAGAGATCTGGTTTCTATAAAGATGGGACACTGCACTGATGAGATGACTCGGGGTAAAAACACTTGCTGGGAAAACCTGATGATCTGAGTTCAATCTCTACATCCCACGGTGGAAGGAGAGAATTGATTCCAGAAAGTTGTCCTCTGACCTCCACATTATCTCTGTCTCTGTCTCTCTGTCTCTCTCTCTCACACACACACATACACACACACACACACAGTATAAATTTTTAAAAGATGAGACACATTGCCGGGTGTGGTGGCGCACGCCTTTAATCCCAGCACTTGGGAGGCAGAGGCAGACAGCGGAACTCTATTGAGTTTGAGGACAGCTTGGTCTACATAGTGAATTCCAGGCCAGCTGGGGCTACTAGGAGACCCTGTCTCAAAAAAGACCAAAAAATAAAAAATTTAAAAAAAAAAATAGAAGCTGAGACACAGGGAACTGTATCTGGAACATGAGTCATGCAATCTCACCTGATAAGAAGATAATAGCACTTTTGGAAAATTGAAATTTTTTAAAAAATATCTGGCCAGGCATGGTGATGCACACCTTTAATCCCAGCATTTGGGAGGCAGAGGCAGGCAGATCTCTGTGAGTTCGAGGCCAGCCTGGTCTACATAGCAAGTTCCAGGTCAGCTGGGGCTACAGGGAGACCCTGTCCCAAAAAGAAAAAAAAAAAAAAAAAAATCTTTGTTTTATGTGTATGAGTGCATTGCATGCATGTGTATAAGTGCACCCGTATTGTGCAATGGCCAGGGAGGTCAGCACACATCAGATCCCCTGGAACTGGAGTCATGGACGGTTGTTAGCTGCCAGGTGGGTGCAGGGAATTGAACCTAGGTCCTCTGCAAGAGCAGTCAGTGCTCCCAACCCCTAAGCCATCTTTCTAGCCCCAGAAAATTGAAAATCTTAAGGTTCATTTATTTTATTTATTTATTATTTATATTTTATTTTATTTATTTTTTTTTCTTTTTGAAGCAGGGACTCCCTGTAGCCCCAGCTGTCCTGGAACTCACTATGTAGACCAGGCTGGCCTTGAACTCACAGAGATCCGCCTGCCTCTGCCTCCCAAGTGCTGGGATTAAAGGCATGTACCACTGTGTTTGAGTGTATGGCTTGCATGTATCTAAGTGCACCAATGTCGTCGAGTGCCTGTGGAGGTCAGAAAAGCACATCGGGTCCCCTGGAGCTGGAGTTAAGACAATTGTTAGCCACCATGTGGCTCTTTGCAACATATAGCACACTTCAGGGGAAACCAACAAAACAGGATAGATGTAGCCTGAGATTCTTCCTCAAATGTAGAACTGCTCAGATGTGTTCAGACTATGAGGACCAGAGTGCACAGGGGACAGACATGTCCAGAAGGGTGTACACACATATCCACCAGAAGGACACACATGAGTACACACATGTACAGAAGTACGAACATATGTCCAGAAGGACACACACGAGCTCATGCACATACATTCCTAGAGGAATAGAAATGACATATCTGATCAGCAAGGTAAGATCAGAACAAGTAGTTGATCGGGCACAGTACAGGCCCCTAATTTTATCAGAGCCTGTCCACAGAATACATGTTCACTTTCTCAATAAAGTTCTAGTAATAAAGCCAATGTTAGGGTCTCCATTCATCTGATACAATACTGCTTTATTTTTGGTTGGTTATGGACCCAGAAATACGGGGAGGGGGCATGAATAGCATCACCTTAAAATCCTGTCAAGACAATGGACTAGAGTTGGAGAGATTGCTCAGTGGTTAAGAGTACTCGCTGCTCTTGCAGAGGTCCCTGGTTTAGTTCCCAGTACCCACATGGTGGCTAACAACTATCCTTAACTCCAGTTCCAAGGCATCCAATGCTATCCTCTTCTGGCCTCTGAAGGCTTTTCATGACACAGGTGCACTTACACACATGCAAGCAAAACACTCATGCACATAAAATAAAAATAATTTTAAAAGAACAGTGGATTAGGCAGGCATGGTCATGCACAGCTTTAATTCCAGCACTCAGGAGGCAGAGGCACGCAGATCTCCATGAGGCCAGGCTGGTCTACATAGCAAGTTTCAGGCCAGCTGGGGTTACAGGGCTACAGGGAGAACCTGTATCAAAACGAAAAACAAAACAAAACAAGGGGGCTGGAGAGATGGCTCAGCGGTTAAGAACACTGGTTGTTCTTGCAGAAGACCCGGGTTTGAATCCCAGCACCCACATAGCAGCTACCAACTGTCTGAAACTCCAGTCCCAAGGGATCCAACAGCCTCTTCTGACCTCCATGGGCATTGCATGACATGGGTGCACTTACCTACATGAAAGCAATACACATATACACATAAAAAAATAAATAAAAATAATAAATTTAAAAAACAAAAAGGACTGAGATTCCTTCCCAGGCTGCAATACTGGCTCGCTGAGTAAGCTCAGTTCTCACTAAAGAGTGAAGTTCTGCTCAAAGGCAACATGGAAATTCAGGAGGAGGGAGGAAGAGACCATCAGATTCACAATTTAGAGTTTTATACTCTATAGAAATGAAATTAGGAAGAATCTATTTCAGCACTTCAGCAAGGAGTGTCCCGACCACTACCCAGGTGGGTTCCAGGAGCTTAGAGAGCAGAGGGGCTAGGTGTCTGCATGTAGGCTCTGAGACACAGAGAGCAAGAAAATTCTAGTGTTCCTGTTCTTTAACAGGAGATACATTACCATCCCGAATTCTCCAGTAAGTTCCGCAAAATGGTCTGGGGCACGGAGCAGTTATAATAGCCCATGCCAATATACGATCTCCAGATCTGGTTTTTGCTTGAAATGGCATGCAGAGTTGCAAGGATTTCATTTTCACCTGATTGTGGGAAAGAGAGACATGTTACAGAGAGAAACTGTCCCAGAAGGGCACTCCAATTATAGTTTAAAAGCCTCATGTTGTTTAAATATTCATATTAGGAGAACAGCTATATGGGAAATATAATTATCCATCCAACCACCACGAAGTACAGTATGTGGAATCTGAAAAAAAATAATCCCAATAGTACTTAATTTCTCAACAGTTTTTCAACTGTTGTGTGTGTGTGTGTGTGTGTGTGTGTGTGTGTGTTCATTCATGTGGAAGCCAGACAGTGACATCAGATGTCTTCCTCAACTACTCTCCAGCTTATATTTTTGAGACTGGTTCTCTCACTGAACCCATGGAGCTCACCAATTCAGCTAGACTGCATGGACAGCAAGCTCCAGGGATCTGCCTGCCCCAGCCTTCCAATCCCTGGGATTGCAGGCATGCTCTGCCATGCTGAGCTTTTATGTGGGTTCTGGTTATCCAAACTCAGGTCCTCATGCCTGCATGGCTGGCAGTTTACCACCTGGCCCGTTCTCCAACCCTTCACAAATTTTTTTTTGACTCTTCTTTTCTCAGCACATTGTTTACCAGGTAACTGCTTCATTCCAGGTTTCTCCTGTCCCTTTAAAATTTTGGCTTACAGGGCTGGAGAGATAGCTCAGCGGTTAAGAGCACTGGTTGTTCTTGCAGAAGACCCGGGTTCGAATCCCAGCACCCACATGGCAGCTAATAACTGTCCGCAAGTCCAGTCCCAGGGGATCCAACAACCTCTTCTGACCTCCGAAGGCATTGCACCACATGGGTGCACTTACCTACATGCAGGCAATACATGCATACACATAAAATTAAAAAAAAAAAAAATTTCAAAATTTCTGCTTAATCTTCTTAAAATAAAAATTGTCAAGCTGAGTGTGGTGGCATACACCTTTAATCCCAGCACTTGGGAGGCAGAGGCAGGTGGATCTCTGTGAGTTCAAGGCCAGACTGGTCTACATAGCAAGTTCCAGGCCATCTGGGGCTACAGGGAGACCCTGTCTCAAAAAAGACCGAAAAAAAAAAAAAAAAGAAAAAAGAAAGAAAAGAAAAAAGAAAAATTGTCTTCTCACAGTAATGTTTCTTTATCTAAAAATTATTTATTTTTATGTATATGTGTATGTATGCATGTACCTGCATGAGTTTATGTGTATCATACTCATGCAGAAGCCCACAGAGTCCAGAAGTGTTCTGAATTCCAAGGACCTGGAGTTACAGGTGGTTGTGAGTAGCCATGTGGGTGCTGGGAACTGAACCCCGATCTTCTGCAAGAGTGGTAAGAGTCTTAGCTGCTGAGCCATCTCTAGTACCATGTTCCTTTTTTTTAACTTTATTTATTTTTATCTTATGTGTTCAAGTGTTACATCTGCACCCATGTCATACAGTGCCCACAGAGGACAGAAGAGTGCTCACTAAGGATCCCCTTGGAATTGGAGCTATAGATGGTTGTTAACTGTCATCTGGGTGCTGGGATTCAAACCTGGGTCTTCTGCAAGAACAGCCAGTGCTCTTAACCGCTGAGCCATCTCTCCAGCCCCCCATGTTTCTTCTTTTAAATTGACTTATAGGTCTAGAAGCAGCTTAAGATTACAGCCTTATACTGAATTTGGCATTTTCTTTTGTATTATTGGAAAGGCTATTTATTAAAAAACAGAAACAACAAAGCAGAACATACAACACATCACCCAACAACATAAAATATTAGGCATAATAAGAGACTCAAATGAACTTTCAACTAGTGTTCCCACTAAGGCATCTGGTAAATAAAGAATTATAAAATTCTCAAATGCAGGAAATCCAATCACTTCACAAACAATCTTCTTAGAAGCAAAGTGATTCAAAAGCCCAGTAGGAGGGGAAATTAATTAGCACTGGCTGGCAGGCCAAGCCAGTTTCAATTAAGATCCTGTGCAAAATGGACAGGTCCCTGTTCCACATTGTGCTGTCAGGACAAAGGATCCAGCTCTCAATGAGAACAGTCTGTGAAAGGCTTTGTCAAATCAAGACTTCAGCCTTTACAGCCAAAGTATTTTCAAGTTGGAAAATATGATTATATATTATGGGATCGTGATTCTATGTTATGGAAAGTCCATTAAGAGAAGGCTCTGCTCACAAGGAAACACTGTTAGAAGTTAGCACAAGGTCCAAGAGAGAGATGAGTAAGGACTACTGCACATTGAATTGCATCTCCCAAAATGATTCACTGGTATCTTTTGGCACCTGTGAATGTAACCTTACTTGGAAATTGGGACTTCACTGATATAATCAGTTTACAATAAGATCATACTGGATTGGGGGGTCACCTTCAATCCAATGATTGATGTCCTTACAAAAAGAAATTTGGGGGCTGGGAGTGGTGGCGCACGCCTTTAATCCCAGCATTCGGAAGGCAGAGGTAGGTGGATCTCTGTGAGTTCAAGGCCAGCCTGGTCTACATAGCAAGTTCCAGGTCAGCTGGGGCTACAGGGAGACCTTGTCTCAAAAAGACCAAAAAAAAATTGGGGGCTGGAGAGATGGGTTAGAGGTTAAGATCACTGGCTGCTCTTACAGAGGACCTGGGTTCGATTTTCTACACCCACATGACAGCTAGCAATCGCCTATAACTCCATTTCTAGGGGATCAGACACCCTTTTCTGGACTCTTCAGGCTTTGCAAGACATGGGTGCACTTACATGCAGGCAAAATGTTCATACACATAAAATAAAAAGAAATACATTAAAAAAAGAAGAGAAAGAAGAGGAGAACCTGGACACATTGTCATGCACACAAACAGAATGCCCTGTTATGTAGCTTTTGGAGTGACAGATACATCTACAAGCCAAGGACTTCAGCAATGATTAAAAGTCAGGAGACAGGAATGGAGCAGATTCTTCTTCAAAGCTCCAACACAGAACCACCCCAGACAACACCTCCAATTTGACCTCAGTCTATGGAGCCATGAGAAAAGAAGTTCCTTTTGCTTGAGCCCTCCAGATTGCAATGCTATGCTACAACACAGTGAACCAACACAGGTGGCTGACTGGGCATTTTTTGGAGAGGCTATGTGACACAAGGCTGGATGATCTCCAACACTGTCAGACTAAAGTTTCCATGCATTATGAAAACTCTACCACCTAAAGAAACCAGTATAGCAGCATGTTCATTCTCTGAAGCTGTTTACCCACTGGCGTAAAATGGCTGAAACTATGTTTCTGAATATATTGAAAGTCAAGGGTTAGAGAGGTGGCTCAGTGGTGAAAAGCACTTGCATGTGGGTTCAGTTCCTATCACCCAACAAAGCAGCTCACAATGCCTAGGTGAGCAGCTCCATTTCTAGGTGATCCAATGCCCTCTTCTCGCTTCCACAGGCACCAGGCACATACATGGTAGACATTCAGGCATACCTCATACATATCAAATTAAAAAATAATCTTGGGGCTGGAGAGATGGCTCAGTGATTAAGAGCACTGGTTGCTCTTGGAGAAGATCTGGGTTCAGTTCCCAGCACCCACATAGCAGCTAACAATCATCTGTAACTCCAATTCCAGGGGATCCTGATGCCCTCTTCTGACCTCTGCTGACATTGCATGATGTGGGTACACTTACACACATGCAGGCAATATTCTCATGCACATAAAATAAAAAGTAAAATATGTTTTAAAAATAAAATAAATCTTTTTAAATCTTAAAAAAAAAAAAAAGGCCCTGGTGTACGCCTTTGATCCCAGCTCTCGGGAGGCAGAGGCAGGTGGGTCTTTGTGAGTTCAAGACCAGCCTGGTCTACATAGTGAGTCCAGTTCAGCTGGGGCTACAGAAAGACCCTGTCTCAAAAAAAAGAAAGAAAGAAAAGAGAAAAAGAGAGAAAGAGAGAAAGAGAGAACGTCACACCTGTCATCCAAGCAACCAACCAAGCATGAGGGTCGGGGAGGGGCAAACTTTGAACAAACTTTGAAGCCAACCTCTGCATAACAAGATGTATTAAAAGAAAACACACACACAAAAACAAACAAAAATTAAAATAAAAAAGCAGGCTGGGTGTGGTGGCACACGCCTTTGATCCCAGCACTCACTTGGGAGGCAGAGGCAGAGGCAGGCAGTTCTCTGTGAGTTCAAGGCCAGCCTGGTCTACATAGTGAGTTCCAGGGCAGCTGGGGCTACAGGGAGACCCTGTCTCAAAAAGACAGAAAAAAAAAAAAAAAAGTAAATAAATAAATAAATAAAAAGCAAGAAAAATTTAGTCAATACAGAAGGGTGCAGTGCTCCCCCTCCCCGACTGTGACTTGCAAGATGCCACAGTCAATTATTCAGCCCAAAGGTCTGCCTTGGGTGTTGCCTGCTCATTCTCACAGCCTAACGTGGGGAGCAACAGAGTCTTCAAGTCATGTTCCACAGCTGGTTGAACTGAGATAACCAATTCAATTCTAACTGGCCCCATGCCTAAGGAAAAAAATGATTGTAAGTGACGGCTCAGCAAATAAAAGTGCTTTTTGCACAAGCCTGAAGTCCTGAATTTGATCCCTAGAACCTAATGGTGGACGGAGAGTGCCAATTTCTGAAAAGCTGTCCTTTGACCACCATACTCGTGCACCCACATACATAATAAAAGAATAAATAAATTAATTAATTAAAAATAAAGCTGCGGTATAGCCAAAAGGATTAGATTAGAGCTGCAGTTTTCATTGAGACTCACACAGCCAACAAAATTCTTTCAGTGCAGGGGACTCCTTACCACTTCTCCCATTCCACGAGAACACATGGAGCTACAGACAGGAAAATGACTACTGTCCCAAGATCCACAATTATGGACCTGTATTAGGTCAAATTCTCTGAAATGAGCACTTTTTAGTGTCTGTGTGCCCATGATGTGTGTGTAAGGATGTACCTGCCATAGCGTGGGTGTGGAGGTCAGAGGACAACTTCATGGAGATGCCTCTCCTTCCACATTTACATGGGTTCCAGGGATCAAACCCAGGTCACCAGGCTTGCACAGCAAGTGT